GTGGGGACATCATGGAGGGGTCTCAAGGAGGTGGGGACACCAGGGATGGGTCTCAAGGACATAGGGACTCCAAGGGTAGGAGGTGGGGAAGGGTTGGGTGTTGGGGACGGGGAGGTGGGGGCACCAGGGATGGGTTAGAAGGACATGGGGACACCAGGGATGGGCTACAAGGACATGGGGGCACCAGGGATGGGTCCCGAGGATGTGGGAGCATCGTGGAGGGGTCTCAAGGACATGGGGACACCAAGGGGAGGAGGTGGGGAGGGGTTGGCTGTTGGGGACAGGGACGTGGGGACACCATGGAGGGTTCACGAGGACATGGGGACATCATGGAGGGATCTCAAGGACATGGGGACACCAGGGATGGGCCAGAAGGACGTGGGGACACCAGGGATGGGTCTCAAGGACATGGGGACACCAAGGGGAGGAGGTGGGGAAGGGTTGGATGTTGGGGACGAAGAGGTGGAGGCACCAGGGATGGGTCACAAGGAGGTGGGGACATCATGGAGGGGTCTCAAGGACATGGGGACACCAAGGGGAGGAGGTGGGGAAGGGTTGGATGTTGGGGACGAAGAGGTGGAGGCACCAGGGATGGGTCACAAGGAGGTGGGGACATCATGGAGGGGTCTCAAGGACATGGGGACACCAAGGGGAGGAGGTGGGGAAGGGTTGGATGTTGGGGACGAAGAGGTGGAGGCACCAGGGATGGGTCACAAGGAGGTGGGGACATCATGGAGGGGTCTCAAGGACATGGGGACACCAAGGGGAGGAGGTGGGGAAGGGTTGGGTGTTGGGGACGGGGAGGTGGGGGCACCAGGGATGGGTTAGAAGGACATGGGGACACCAGGGATGGGGTACAAGGACATGGGGGCACCAGGGATGGGTCCCGAGGATGTGGGAGCATCGTGGAGGGGTCTCAAGGACATGGGGACACCAAGGGGAGGAGGTGGGGAGGGGTTGGCTGTTGGGGACAGGGACGTGGGGACACCATGGAGGGTTCACGAGGACATGGGGACATCATGGAGGGATCTCAAGGACATGGGGACACCAGGGATGGGCCAGAAGGACGTGGGGACACCAGGGATGGGTCTCAAGGACATGGGGACACCAAGGGCAGGAGGTGGGGAAGGGTTGGGTGTTGGGGACAGGGACATGGGGACACCATGGAGGGTTCACGAGGACATGGGGACACCAGGGATGGGTCACAAGGAGGTGGGGACACCAGGGATGGGTCACAAGGACATTGGGACATCATGGAGGGGTCTCAAGGACATGGGGACACCAGGGATGGGTCACAAGGAGGTGGGGACACCAGGGATGGGTCACAAGGACATTGGGACATCATGGAGGGATCTCAAGGACGTGGGGACACCAAGGGTGGCACATGGGGACCCATTGGGTGGAGGCGTGGGGACACCAGGAATGGGGTACAAGGGCATGGGGACACCAAGGGTGGACCCATTGGGTGCTGGGGGTGGAGATGTGGGGACACGGGGGACACCAGGGATGGAGCAGGAGGAGGTGGGGACACCAGGGACGGGGCAGGAGGACTTGGGGACACCGGGGACGCGCGGTGGGGAGCTGTGGGGGGCTGGGGGTGGGGACACAGGGACAGTGGGGAGGGGGCACAAGGACGTAGGGACACCTGGGATGGCACCTGGGAACCCACCGGGGGTTGGGGACGGGGGGACAGCGGGGACCTTCTCACCCCAAGGTCCCCCCTGTGCCCCACAGAGCCCCCTGTCACCCCGATGTCCCCAACCCTCCATGTCACCTCAGGGCCACCAACCCCCAATGGCACCCCAACGTCCCCAACCCCTCACGTCCCCCTCATGTCCCCCCCAGACCTCCATGTCACCCCAATGTCCCCAGACCCCCATGTCCCCTTGATGTCCCCATCACCCCCATCCTCACCCCAGATGCCCACAAGGTCTGTGTCATGGGCCACCACGGAGGGGTCTTGGGCCACCATGGAAGGGTCAGGGGCCACCATGAGGGTGGCCCAGGCCACCACAGAGGGGTCTTGGGCCACCATGGAGGGGTCTCAGGCCACCATGGAGGGGGGTCAGGCCATCACAAGGTGGCCTTGGGCCACCATGGAGGGGCCTAGGGCCACCACAAGGTGGTCTTGGGCCACCACGAGGTGGGCACGGGCCACCACAAGGTGGGCACGGGCCACCATGGGGTGGGCTAGCTCGGCCGTGGGGTGGGCCCGCTCGGCCGCGGGGCGGGTGAGGGACCGGTGGGACCCCTTGGCCACCGCCTGGACCTTGGCCTTGCTCTTCGGGTTGCCCCAAGTGGCCATCTTTGGCCAACGGGAGGTGGGGGCCGGCGAGGAGGACTGTTGGGCCACCTTCATCCAACCTTGGGGGGCCAGGGCTTACGTCACCTGGGTGGCTTTAGCCGTGTTGGTGGCCCCGGCCGCCTTGTTGGGGGGGTTGCAGGTGGCCGTGACCAGGGCTTTGGGGGCCGGTGGCCACCGGCGGGGGTTGGGAAGGGCCAGGGCCAAGAGCCACCGAATGGCCATGGTGGTCCTGGGGGTCTACGTGGCCTGCTGGGCCCCCTTCTTCTGCGCCCAGCTGTGGGCCGTCTGGGACCCCTGGGCACCCGTGGAAGGTGAGGGGACGTGGTGGGGACATGGGGAGAAGGACGTGGAGATGGGGACGTGGGGATGGGCTTGGGGACGTGGAGATGGGGTTGGGGACGTGGGGATGGAGAGATGGGGACATCAGGGGATTGGGGACATGGAGGTGGGGACATGGGGACTTGGAGGATGGGGACATGGGGTTGGGGTTGGGGACATTGGGATGGGTTTGGGGACGTGGGGATGGAGGTGGGAACGTGGGGATGAGGACACAGGGACATCACGGGGACATCATGGGGACATTGGGATGGGTTTGGGGACAAGGGGACATCATGGGGACATCATGGGGACATGGGGGTGGAGGTGGGGACGTGAGGATGAGGACACGGGGACATCACGGGGACATCATGGGGACATGGGGATGGGGTTGGGGACACGGGGACATCACGGGGACACCACGGGGACACCACGGGGGTGGAGGACACGGGCTTGGGGCCACGGGGACACCATCTTGGGCTCCCACATGGGGACAACCCCCCCTACTCCCCACCACTTGTGGGACCAGGGGCCTCCCTTACGTCCCCTGTGGTGACCCGTGGTGACCCGTGGTGACCTGATGGTGACCCATGGTGACCTGATGGTGACCTGCTGGTGACACCAGGTCCGGCCTTCACCATCCTGATGCTGCTGGCCAGCCTCAACAGCTGCACCAACCCCTGGATCTACGCCGCCTTCAGCACCAGCCTGTCCCGCGCCATGGCCCGCATCCTCTGCCCCTGCCGCCACCGTGCCGCGCACGCCTAGGGCCTTGCACGAGGGCTTGCACGAGGACCACCAGGGCTCACACCAGGACCACCAGGGCTCGCACCAGGACGGGACACGGGGGCTCGTACGAGGAACCACGGGGGCTGGCACCAGGATGGACCACCAGGGGCCCGCGTGAGGATGGACTGTGGTGGTCCATCCAGGGGTCTTGCACGAGGGTTTGCACGAGGACCACCAGAAGTAGCACCAGGACCACCAGGAGTAGCACCAGGACCACCAGGGCTCGCACCAGGACGGGACACGGGGGCTCATATGAGGAACCACGGTGGGTGGCACCAGGATGGACCATCTGGGGCTCACGTGAGGATGGTCCACGGGGGCTTGCACAAGGATCACGAGGGCTTACGCCACAACCACGAGGGCTGGCGCGAGGACTCGCACGAGGACAACCAGGGCTCGCACCAGGACGGGACACGGGGGCTCACACAAGGACCCTGGAGGCTCACACAAGGAACAAGGGACTTGTGCAAGGACCACAAGGGTTTGCACGAGGAACAGGGGGGCTTGGACGGGGCACAAGGACCCTGGAGGCTCACACAAGGAACAAGGGACTTGTGCAAGGACCACAAGGGTTTGCACGAGGAACAGGGGGGCTTGGACGGGGGCTCGCACGAGGACCACGGGGACTCTCACGAGGACAGGCTGGGGTGGGGGCTCACACGAGGATGGTGAGCTCGTGGTGCAGTGGGGGAGGG